AAATATTTCCTTATGTCCAGAGGGAACATCCTGTGTTTTGGCTTACACCCATTGCCTCTGGTCCCATCACTGGGCACCAAGTGACAAGTGTAGTCTCTGAAACAAATGTTCATCTTGAGATGGTTGTTTTCTTTATGTAGGAAATATGTCAGTTATCTGAATACTTTCTCTTTCTTACATTAGGAATTTCATATGAAATTAATATTTATCACAAACTTAATGAATATTCCCAAAATATTAAGGAAAAGTGCATTTTTGGAGAGCCTGTGTGCAGCGCATGAAATATTTATAATTTCATATTGATTTGGGTAGCTTTGCTGGTAAATATTTTAATTAAAGAATTTCACAAAGGAGATGAGATAGAGAATGGGGTTTTTCCAGCTTTTTTTTAAATTCTTTTTTTGATGATCCCTAATTCTCCTGATCAACAGTGAGAGACATGCATCAGACTATAAAAACTGGAAGATGTGAGCAATAGAAGAAAGCCTGGTGCATTCTCCAGATGCTCATTTTTAAATGCAGTAGCAACATATTTAGAATCTAATTTAAACAAATTATTTAAACATCAGAGTTTTAGTTTTCATTGTTTGCTGCTCAGTACAGATGTTTAGGAATTTGGGATAGAAGCTTGAGATTATTTTCAGAGATTCAGGACTCATGCCCTGTGAGAAGAAAACTTTTAAATTGACCCTATTGGACAATCAAGAATTTATCTTTCCAGGAGCTATTTTTACTACCTAAAAAAAGAAATCTGTTACTTAAACCTTTTTTTTTTTTGGCTTCAGATATACTGTTAAAAATGTTCAATTAAAACTTGTGCAAGTCTCGGAGTATTTCTACTGCACTGAAGATATAATGGGATATATTTTAATTTGAGTGAAAGGATGTTAAGGATATAATAAGAGACTTTGACAGGTTTCCCAGAGAGCAAATGAAATTTAAATATGCAGATCCTACAGGCAAAAAAAAAAAAAAAAAAAGTTCTCAGGGATCTGATTAATACACTTCAGTTCAGCAAATATGGCTTTACCACTAATCCAGGTAAAATAAAAGCAATATTTTAAATGATTACTTTGCAGTCTAAGATGGTTGTCCTGAGATTTTGAGGATAAAATAGAATATGGAAAAATTCACACAAAACAGATGTAATTTCAAGAAAGCCTAAAGTGAAGAACTGAAAATTCACACAGTCTGGCAACAAAAGGGCAATTATTAGTCATTTGAACAGTTAGAACTGCTCGACTACCATGCCACCTTTATAATTTATTGCCTGTACACAATATTAGAGTAGGTATGTGCTGTAAATTGGTATTTGCTGTGAATTGTATTTAAATCTTAATCCCTAATTTAACCAGCCACCCAAAACAAAGGGTTTTGGGTGGCTTGTTAAAAAGGCTCAGGCTGAAAATGCAATTTGAAGATTCTAGTGTTTCTTTGCTTAGCTTAACACCAAAAAAAAACCCTAAAAGTTTAAAGAGGAAAACAAGCTTGGACACTGGGCACAAGTCACTCCAAAAATCCTTTCAACGAGTTTAAAACTGGGTGCTCAGTGGATGCTGATTGGTGGGATATTGACTATCCATGCTGAGAGTTCACTGGCAGCCTTTGGAACTAATTAGAATTAAATATAAAATTATGATCAAGCTGAGAATCCATGATGCCAAGGATAAATAATCAAAACCATTAAACTTCCATTTTAAAAATGACATGGGGTCTGATTTTCAGAGATGGCTACAGCAGCATATTACTGTTACCTAAAATCTTCAAAAACCACACAGCTCATATCTACCAGGAAAATGCTTGTGTCCCTAATTTTCTCCTGAACACAAATGCTATATAAACATCTAATTGTTTTCATTAATAGAACTTAGTCTCTTAGAAAGTTTAGGTTCCTTTGAAATATTACTTCAAACCCTCAGCTGACATGAATTTAATGATATGATGCTACTGATGCTGATGAGGCTCAAAGTTTGCATTTTATTCCAACACGCTGAGCTCCAGGAACCCTGTTATGCAAGAATCAATTTTTATTTAGTGAAAGATTAGCTTCTGCTTCTTCTCATACACAAAAAAGTCTGAAAATGTAAAACAGCACTTAAAGCAAGATGGAAAAAAAAACCGAATTAGTTCTGTGGTTCCGTCACACTTAGAAAATCTGATTTATTTTTTTTTTACACTGAACATTGTCTTTCAAGAAGGGGACAGACTCATCCCTTGATGAGGTTATTGATGCTGAGCTCCCCAACTTACAAAGAGAAACCCACAGGTTGTTCTTACATTAAATACCAAGGAGATCAGCATTATTGTGTCAATAAGGAACACAGAGTGAATCAAACAGTGTCTGCATGCTATAAATACCTTGAAATCAGCAGAAATGTCGTTCCAAAAAAAGGAGACCCACTTTTGCAGAAGTGAAATAAACAATTTTGCATGAATAGCCCAAAGGGAGAGATGGGTTACAAAACCATCTTTTTCTGCTGCTTTCTCTTGGCTTTTCAGCTGGCTGGTGTTTTCTCTCTCTCCTTTTCTCTCTCAGCTCTGACTCAGTCAGGCAACTCACTTATTAAGTAAACAGCCTTCAGAGCAGCTTGTCTGAGGAATACAGTTCCATTAAGTAAAAATATGGAGCGAGAAGCTCTTGAGAAGCAACGATCAGAGATCTAAGAATACAAAAGAACAAATGCACTTTCTGATTTAAATATGTTATTGTTATTAGCATCATTATTCATCTTCCAGTAGCTTCAGAACAAGCGTCTCGCTGCACTAAACTTTCATAGGCATAAACATCTATTCTGTCCTAAATAACTTCCAGTGTAATTGAATGTTAGTAATATAAAACACTTACAAGGAAACGAGGCTGAATCATAGAGCCAACTCACTAAGTGACAGGTGGGTTCCAACCTATTTTTTTAAGCAAAAAAAAAGTTCTTTTTGTTGATATTGGGGTTTTTCACATGCTCTCCTGCAGTGATGGCTGCCAAAAAACTTGTAATTCTCCATTCAGCATTCAACTTAATGATCCTGTTTCCTAAGGGGCTTCAAAGCTTTCTTGCACAAGAAGAGGGAAGGTCTACAGAGCCTCTGACTTTATCTGCAAAGGCCCATGTTAATGTACATGTGAGATGGGAGCAGCACTGAGACTGAAACGCCTTTAAAATGGCAGAGGCCAGGGTTAGATTAGATATTAGGAAGAAATTATTCATGGTGAGGGTGGTGAGGCACTGGAACAGATTACCCAGAGAAGCTGTGGATGCTTGAATACTTCCATCCCTGGAAGTGTTCAAGGCCAGGTTGGACGGGGCTTGGAGCTGTCCCTGCTCATGGCAGGGGGTTGAAACTGGGTGATCCATAAGGTCCCTTCCAATCCAGACCATTCTTTGATTCTTTGGTTCTATGACTGTTCCCCTGCAGCAGCCAAACAAAGCTCTCCCAGCTCTCACTCAGCCCTTGCCTCACATCATCCTTTCTTTCTCATAGCCCAGTGCAGGAATCTATTGTCTTTGCCATTCGAAGTGAACACATTTTTTTTATTGTCCAAGGCCAACAAAGCACTTTGGAAACAGAAAGCATTTCAAAACATGCCTGGAGCATCACTTTAGCAACAAGCAGACGCACAATATCCCTGTGAGGCAGAACAATGCTATTATACTAATTTCACAGATGGATAAACTTGAACGCAGTAAGGTAAGGCCTAGATCCTGTTTGGTGCTGTGCTTTGATATTTTAGGGAATTAAGCAGCAGAGAGCTTTTTCTCCCTTAGCAGGAAAGACAATCTATACAAGAAAATACAATAGGAGTGCAGCTACAAATGCATTTACACTTACAGCATGCCCGCGGAAAAGTGTGGTTAACCAGCTCCTCTTTTCTGCTGAGCTGCACAGGTAACAAAGATGCCAATGAACCTTTTCCCAACAAACCACTCATTCTTTTTTAAACAGCAGTAAAATGAGTCCCATCTGCCTCAAAACCCCTCTTTTTCCGTGTTCTCCAAGCTGGCACAAGTTCAAAGCAGATGTTGCCTCTGCTCCACTCCTTTCGCCCTCACCTCATCAGCAGAGCAGGGCTTGTCCAGAATACCCTTCCTCAAGTGCACAGAGAGCACCCAAACAGCCTCATGGCCATGCTCAGACCTCTACCCAGACCCTCCCCTGAATATTAATACAGATCTTTTTGCATGTCCTCTGGAAGAGGCTGCACTTTGGCAGGGTGATGGATCTTTTTGCATCTGCTGAGCAAGAGCAATTGCTGAGTTTGATCTCACTTTTTCACTTTGCACAACATGAAATTTTTAATTGTCTAGTTGAGAAAGGGTGGCAGCTGACAATTACTTTGTTCAGACTCTCAGAGCTGATAATTCTCTGTTCATGAAACTGGGGCTGTTAATGATTCGTAAGCTGATACTTCCTCACACTTGATTGTGCATAGTAGACTTCATAATTTGAGCTTGTCATTTTTATTTTTCAGAGGGAAAAAAAAAAACATAACGAAACCTTTCCTTTTTCATGGTAGACTTCTCTGTAAGTGTGTAATTACATCCTGATGTTCCCTGTGATTTGTGCCTTGTTCAACCTATTGAAAGCCACTTCTAATGCATTTTCACAAAACATTTTCTTTGTTAGGAAAAAAATTCCATGTGACATACCGTGGGGGTAATGTTTTCTCATATATTATTACTTTACCTACATGCAAGATGCTTCAAAGACTATTCACAGCATAGGGAAATTGTGACCATTCCCGATAATGACTACAAATCATTTCTGCAAGTGACTGACTATGGAAGCTTCTTCATATCCATCTCAGGTCCTCACCACGGAGATGGTAGAAGTCTCTTAGAAGGAACCTTCCACATACAACAGGGCTTTAATAATCAAACCTTCCATATAAATGTAAAGGCTGTTTGCAAAACCATACAGAAGTAAACTATTCCAAATCTTGCATCAGCCAACTGCTGTGGCTTTGGCTACATGAATTAAGTGGCTGAAAGACAAACAATTCTGAGTATCTCAACAGGCTTTGAAGATTTATTTTAACAAACATTATTGCTCATAAAGATTGTTTTCCCTGGTAAGTCAGGCCTAAGTATTGAAAATAGACTGTTGACTTTAGGTATTTCCACTTTTAGATGACTGTGAAGTCCTGTTCTCTGAAAAGCAGGATACCTTCAAGTGCCTTTATTTAGAGAATCCAAATTGATAATAATTTTAAAACAATCTTCTCTTTAGTTATATCATGGGCCACTGTAAGCAGAATCATCTTAAAGACATATTTTTCTAAATAATCCATGATACAGTTACTATTAGAAGAGTAACCTGGCCCCAAATGGCCAGTTTAACATTTTTATTCCATGACTACAGAATGGAGACAAGAGAAGGCTCAGAGTCTGTGTTGGGTTTGCAGCTTGTAGTATCAGGGAACCAAACAGAAAAGGAGATTTCTGATGACAAAGTAAAGAATATCAAAAGCTATGTAGTAAAAAAAAATAAAAAAAATCATATATGAATGTTTCATATTTAGTTATATTTAGGTGTGAATAAAATTATAGTTAGCACCATGACCCAAAATGTCCTCATACAAAAAACACAGAAAATTTGCTGTCTATAAGGAACCAGCCAGGCCTAGAGACAAGGCTGTTTACAATCATTTAATAGCACATGTACCTGACTTCTCATTCCTTTCTGGAATTTAGGCACTTGGTCTGATAGAAAGGGAGAGACTTTTCTTGGTGTCCTTAAAGTTATGCAGCCCAGCTTGTTACCTGCCAAAACTGGGAGTTTCAATTCTCTTAAACTTACAAAATCTCCTATACACATTTTCAATTTCCTAGGGCACTTTTCCAACCACGAGGTTATAAACTTGGGATATGGATGACCAAAGAAAAAACAGTCATGAAGTCAACACATAGTGAGGAGCCTGATTTTTTAACACGGTTGTCAAGAAATCTCTTCTGGGGGAGAGGGAACTGATTTACAACCCTTGAAATAATTTCTGTGTTATAATCAAGGATTGTGTCACGTGGAAGACTTTCATATAGGAGTGAAGTTAAAATATTTTTTGTACTTATGTGCATGGTTTGGGTCAACTATGTAGAGAATAATCACAAAGCATATGTAAATATATGCATTTTTTCCCTGTTGTAGGAACCAAACAGGGAACTTCTAAGGTCTCTCTCAAAATTCCTTGCCAGAAGTCATCCAAACTCTGTGAGAACTTTCCTTCAGGCTTACACAGTCTTTCATATTTATATATTTGCTGAGCCTCTGTGATATTTTTCCATCTTCATGTCCTGAAAAAGAATCATTGAAAGGAAAAAAAATGGTAAGATCATGAGCAGTCTCTCCATGGTGCATAATGTGAAAGTTGTGTGACTATCATTATCATTATCACATCTGTACTAAATGCAGAACTGATGCTCCCTTCTCTGTCAATTTTATGCTCTTAGAAATCAGTCATGCAAATACCAGTCAGATGATTTGATTTAGCAAATCTGATCTTCCTCGCTCTAGAGGTAAGCTGAAGAGTGGCTTAAAAATCATAAGGACTGTCATTCTCATTTCTATCTGAATTCATTGCATTACACAGATGCAGATAAATACTTTGGGACTTTTAATTCTTCCTAAACTCGTCTCAGTTATTAAAGGCACTGCAATATTCCAGAGTAATTTTTAAAAGTTTTACAGCTAAACTACTGTTTGTTCTGACTATTGCACAATAAGGAAACACACAGAATATAGTCCCACTTCAAAAAATTCAGATTTATCACCATTTGGAAGTTAGACATTCACCCCAGTTATCTGGGGTCTCTCAACAACCAAAGGAGAGAGACACATCTCCAGAGCATGATTCATCCCTCCTATCTTAAATACCTATCTCACTCTGGAAGCTGATACAATTCCTCTAAACTCTTAAAAATGGACATCTTATTTCCAATCTGAATCTATCTAGTTTCAGCTTCCAGCTATTGGATCTTGACATGCTAGATTAGTGAGTTATTTACTGCGAAAAATATCTTCTCTCTGTGCATAAAGAGTGCAAATAATCTATTCTTCAAAGAACTAAATAGATGGAGATTCCCAGTTTCCCACTGTATGACACTGTGGTTGCTCTTCAAATAAGTCTTGAGAGATAATATTTCTTATCACCCCAACTGACACAGCTGGAAAAAAATAGACAGGTTTCTGGGCACATAAACTCTTCTTTAGGTCTCACTGAGTTCAAAGCTTCTCAATGGAAAGCAAATTTATTTTTATTTTTCAAAAAAACCATTTAACTTGACAAATTAAAGCTTTGCAAGGGAAGAAGCACTTCTTACATATAATTGGCACTCCAAAGTTTTAATTGTATGAAAAGCACCGCAATAGTGAGCCAATTTGTCTTCTATTACCAGGAGCCTCTTTCCAGTGTGTACTCAGCAAATTCCGTACATAAATGTGATGATTTAAGATCACACTCCTGAAGTTCACAGGAATCAGTGGGATTGTTTCCACTAAATGACTTTCATTTAGGCCTTTTGGTTCAATTGTCTCTACTCACACAGGATGAAAACTTCTCTGGGCACTGAGCAGCAGTCATTAGGAAGCTGTGGTGTGCTTGTAGGAATAAAGTTCACATAAACGGTGAGAGAAAGCACACTGTTAATTTGCATTTTACTTTAAAACTCAAAGTGTATTCTAGAAACCCATGACCCTATTATCAAAGGCTAGAAGAAGATAATGAGATTCTAAATAAGGTTCTGAATAAATGAAGGTTTTCTCTCAATTATGAATGGATACATGCTTACTATTATAGAGGTGTTCTCATGTCAGTTTTCTGAGGTCTTTGTCAAAACTTTCACTTTGTCAGATGAAGGTCAAGGGGACATTTTTATTTTTACAATTACAAGCTCACTGTGAAACAAAAGGTCCCTAATAAAAATCCCTAAGCAAAGAGATTCCGGCAACTAGAGGGGACAACTTTAGAACATTTGACATTTTCAACCTCTTGGAAATATAAAACCATTACTTCATCCTTACTTTTCCATCAGATTTTAAAGAAGTGGATGAAGCTAATACAGATATCCCAGGATATATGAAATTAATGAGCAAAATAAAAAAATAAAGCTGCAGCTGTAGAATTTGCCAACTTTTTGCATTTAATCACAGATACAATATTAATCTAATTTTCTGACCAATTCTTCTCCTTAGTTTTCCTTTTTTCTTTTATTCTTTAGATTTCTCAACTTAATTTTTAAGCAAAAATTATTTTGTAGTGAACTGCACAGAGAAACAACATTTTGATGGTAACAAACTTTTTGATATGAGATTTAGGAAATATTCCAAAGGTTTTCCCCAAGTCTGAGAAATAATAATAAACAAAAAGGAATATGTTATTGTTAAGTTAATTACAGTACATAATACTGTAAGATACAACACTGATATGAAAAACGTTACAAGTCATTCAGGCTATCAGATTACTTATGCTGGACAATGCCCAATATCTGATGCTTCGTAAGATAACAGTGACTTTACCAATAATATTCCTGTCCAAATATCCAGTAAACAAAAAAAATGGATATTAAGCAAGAATATAATTCTGTCCCTAAAGTAAATAAAAGCATAAGACCTCTTTCTTCTTTTACTGTGGCATAAATAATATTGGCATTGCTTCATTATTCCTTGAGTCTACACTGGGTTTTCCCTAGGGCAGCTGAGACATGCTTGATTCTCTTTACATGTCCTGTAACTTGTCAACAAGCTAAAGCAATTAGGACTTTTCCTTCCTGGTGGTCTGTGTGTGTGCCCTGAGTGATTGGTTTTATTTAAAGATGGACCAGCTTTAACATTCTTCCTGGTGACAAGTTCCACAAACCGCAGGTGAGACTCAAATCACAGCCCAGTCACAATTAGTTTGGCATATTTAGTATTTTTTGGAACCAACTCTCGAGCGGAATTCTTGTGTTATTTCACAAATAGTCACAAATGGAAATTGGCTGTTGGATCAAAACAGAAATTCATAAGCTTCTTATGAAGTATCCCTGCTATGAATAAGGGTTGTGCTGAAAAATCCAACTATTCCTATTATACACAGTAGACATCTTTCCACCTGAATGCTCTTATCTTTTTTTTTTATCATATAAGACAAACAAGAAAGATTCTCTGGAGTTAGAAACAAGACTAACCCCTTCAAATCCACCAATTTGAAGAGGGAAAGAACAAGTCATTCATTTTCTATCCATTTTTTATTTAAAACTGTAGCATTTATATCTCTGATGAAATATGCAGTTTTGTTTCATTGGCAGTTACAAAGCCCTTTTGTGCTGTTATCTTATTCTTTATATTCATGTATCTTTCTTTTTGAAAGCTAACAAATGACAGATTTTTAAACTGTCTCAAATCCTTTGGAACTCCTACACTTTCGAGAACTTTAGTCACTTAAAACTGTAAAAATTTGGAACTGTGATAGATATTTTAAGTGTACTTTTGCAACTTGAACTTCTGATTTTCAATAAAAAATCCCACTCTCACATGAAAATGAGTTTGGCTGAATATAGTCTATTGTGGTCAGAAATCTATCTCAGTAGTTTCACAAGGTTTAGGTGAGACTGCTTAAGTATATTTTTAATTTTGAAACCTGAAAACAAAATCAAAACCAAACCTAAGCTTCAGTTATTCACATTAATTCTTGTAATTGAAACTCAGATTGTTAAATAGCCATTTTTAACCATGTATTTTATTTCTTAGCTGAAGAGTACAAACTTGTGGGTCCTCTTTTGTGATGTTTGAATCCTATCTGCCATATATTCAATAGGAATTTTCCTTTTGACAATATTAAGCAGCAAGGGAACAAATAACACAGTGTTTTAGTTTGCAACACTATGTGATCACCATTACTCACACAAAGACAACCCCCTCAGGTTATGTGATATCCAAGAAAAACGTTTAGAAATCCCCAGAGTGTCATATTTTTACAGTGGATATTCGTGCAATTATTCATGTTATGTCACATATATATACTGGCTCCTGTAGAATTTTTGCCACTTGTAGTAATTTCTGTTTGCTGTACCTTATGCCTATGACTGGGACTAGAGGTTGATTTTCTCAGGAATGCTCCAAACAGTAAGAGGTAGTTGTCAATTCACCAAAATGTGTTTTGGCCAGAAGGCAAGATGAACACAGAGAGGTGAAAGAATTTGCCTGTGTGACTCGAATATGTGAGGTATAGAGCCAGGGAGAGAACAGTGGCACCTGTTTTGGAGGTCAGGGCCAGTGTGTCCTCCATTCACATGATCTGTGCTGCTCAAAGGGACAGAAGAGAGAAAAGGTATCTCTTAAAAGCTGGTTGGGTTAACTATACAGCTTTGAGGACACCAATAAATAACGAATATAATGAACATAGATGGAGGAAAAGAAGATATAGAAGTAAAAAGGAAGTGCCCAGTGAGAAACATCGACCACATCAATCATAGGATCATTCAGGTTACAAAAGACCTCCAAAACCATTGAGTCCAACCATTGACCCAACACTGCCAGAAGTAAAGTTCAGGCAAAACTGACTCAGACATACTTAACAACTGCCAATAAATCTCATATCCTCAAAACCAATAAAACAATGAACCAATCTCATCTCACCATTGGAAAAAATGCATCTGAAAAGCAAATTATCATTATTTTCCAGTGGGATGCTGATACAATATTCTGCAATATTAATTTCTAACAAATTAGATTTTTTAAAATTTATATGTTCAAGAAAAGCTTTTTGTATTTTTCTGAACTGAATTATTTACTGACTGTAGAACTTCTGTTTTTTCATTTGGAAAATATCTTCTTTAAATATTTAGAAAAAATATCTATAAACAGCATGCAGTTTTAATTACAATTTATACGCTTGCATTTTAATTGCCTTTTAAACTAATTTAGCTTGTTCTTAAAGTTAATTAAACTCATTGGGGGGAAAATGTTCCTTAATTCAGTTGTGAAAATGGAGCAGATGTGGAGATGTATTTGTGATTGTGTCTATCAGTCTGAACTTATAAGAATCCTTTTAATCTTAAATTCTTTAATAGGCCTTAAAACAAAGTGTTTCCCACATGAGCAAGGTGCCCTGTGCATTTCCTGTGTGCTTTCAACATTAAAATCATAATGCACATAAAATCAATGTGCATAGTACATTATTTTTTAATTCGTCCCTTCTAAAATTCATAAAAGCTGAATACAGAGGAGGATGTGCTGCTGACTATATTGTTAGAACTTCAGGCTTTGGGGACTCTTCACTGTACGTTTACAAGCATTTTAGTAACTCAAATTCAAA